AAGGCCACATTGGTTGGTGTATTAGTATAATGACTGGTTATATCAAAACTAACCATTTTTTCATCATTCTCTAATTGAATGTTATTTAGTTTCCTTTTCATTTCATATGAATTAGTTAGCCTAGAGTTTGAATGAATGTTTGAATGTTTTCATAAACACGTCATTTACACAGCATCAAATAATAAATCTTTAAAACATTTTGCAATTCCCAAACTACACTAATAGCAACTCAAACAAAAAGTTGTGGAGATTTACAATTCCATTGTATATGTTCTTGATAAGGTATACAACTCTGCAGTTTATTTCGTCCTATCACTTTAAGTAAAATTATAGTTCAGAAACAGGGGTTTGTGTTTCCAACTCCTTCTTAAGGCTTTAACTGACTTAAACCATAATCAGTGACATAAGGATAATGCGTTTTGAAAACGTCAGTGGACAACATCTGACTGCATTACAAACTTGAACCACACACACAAAATCAAATTGGTTACTGAAACATTAGCAGTGTCATGATTTAACGAAAATTGCTAGTATATATGTATATCTATGATTTATTGTTTTAAAGTTGTTATTTTTCTCACCAGTACACACGAGGATTGTTTGCAGGCCTAGGTAGAGGAGAAAGAACAGTGCCATTTAGTATTCAGTCAAGTTCCGCATTTTACTTCACTCTCAAACTACCCACACTCCCGATTAACAGCTGACGATGAAACCAAGGCTTAGTATTATTATTCGCAATATGAACGGACAGTCAACCTACTGTGTTTACGCAGCTGACAAATAACGGCTTAAAACAATGTGAAATGTGCCTTTAAATTAGTCCGTAGTTAAAATATTTTCATCCACTGCCTGTTACGCAGTGATACAATGAACATCCATTACAAACCACACAAACATGAGAATAATCACGAATTAAGTTGACGTCATTATTCATTGCTACTTATCACATTTGGCTGCTTCATAATTTTTTTTCATAATTCTACAGTAGTTGTTATCACGAATTTCATTACTGAATCAATATTTCACGTAGTTATGTGTGTAATGAACTCCGGATCAAAGTTTAAAGGTGGATATATTTGTACATAAGTGTTGTTTTCGCATGTTACTCATGTGACTACTACAAAATTTTATTCACAAGCAAATTATCCACTTTTGACTGATTCCCTGTAACATCATTTCATTGTCATTTATGGAAATTCTAAAGGTACTGTTGTTCATGATATAGTGAGTTAAATTTTATCTCTTTATTTCGATATGTGTGGATTACATGTCACGTTCAATATCTTTGGATGAAGAAATATGAAAATAGTTACATTAGACTCATTATGCATGTTTCATAGAATATCAGCATTGCATACAACAGCATACCTCATAAATACATATAAAATTATCTACTACTCTTAAAGTGTGTAGTGATTTCGTTAAAAAGAAGCTTTCTTAATATAACTCCGGCCAACCATCGCTGTTGCTGCAGTATTAAATATTTGCATATCACGTTTTAGAATGAAAGCATCTCTCATCCAATATTTAGTTAATAAAACACAATCCAGTGATTTCATCCCTCAAGTAATGTAAACAGTAATATCATTTCATTCTAATAAAATAGGCACTCAGTACTTCATCAGTGGACTACAACTGAATAATGAGACCTGACGATTACCTGGGCTGTCCGACATTATGTGGGTGTATACGATGAGCATCTTTTGCTTCAAGCCAACAATAAATTTCCTGTTCTTTAGGTGAGTGAAATATTTCCAGTGGAATGGCAACATATTGTAGCAATCATTCTCCTGTGTGTTTCATGTTCTCCTGCAAACTGGGTTTCAACGCGTACTGATTGTGAATCCATGTACTTTAAAAATCTACGTGTCAATACCGGATCTTGATGAAGCAATGGCAAATCTTTAGGATACATTTTGATTCCTCGTGTTATATTCCAGCATAGTTATGTGTAAAACGTCACCAGGAGGTCTCGCATCAATGACGGGTAGGAAATTAGGAAATGTTAGAATAATGACCCTCATAATTAGAAACGCTTCAAAACTCGCCAATATAGTATAATCTTATCCATGAAATGTCACAGAACGAAATGGACTGATTGCCTGATGGTCAAGGCTTCTTCTATCAAATACAATGCCAAAAATTACACTGGCGATTATGATATCTAGATATTTCTAGTAGTTGTATTGTGAACAGATGAGATGAACTAGAACTAAATTAATCAGTTCGTCTAAGGTATGAAATAATGTGATTTTGAGAAATAAATTCTGTTCGGTACTTTATGCAGGGAATGATTCTCTTTTACTTTGTGCTATACTATGATCACATCTGATACGACTTACAGGTGAACTAATATGTTTCTACTGCTGAAAATCACTGACTCATTTCGTACTTGTATTTCGACGAAATTAATCTGATCTTCAGTGTATTAATATTCTAAAAATTCAGCAGAAATTGGAAAATTGCACACATATTTCACGTATTACTGCCACGTTATCCATAGGATCAGAGAATTGAAGTGTTTACTTATAATTGTATTGTATTCATTGTGCATTTCAGTAGAACATAGAAGAAATTCATTCATAGTTGGAATAATGGATGACAGTGGTCAATCAAGTGAGACATACCAACTGATTGGTTGGAGGATTTCGTCATGAGCTGACGTCAGTTAGAGAACCACTGGAAACCAACAGAGAGTACTGAACATCTGTTTCGTCCGAGTTTTGGACTCTTCACAGTACGCACCCAACGGGGTTCCAAGAGTCCTAAACCAGGACGAAACATCTTTTCAGTACTACCGAGTTTTCCAGTGGCTCTATAACTGATGCCAACTCATGATGTAATCCTCCAACCAATCAAACTAAATCCCAAAAACCAATAATTGAAAACTGATCTGATGCTCACTAGAAACTGGTCCTATTCACGCAGTTACCTAGGGCTCTAGTGGGAAGCCGTGACCAGTAACATACATCGGGTTGAAGGTTAGGCAGTAACTCATCGAAGGAGACCTTGAAAAGTGGTCGCTCTGTGTCGTGAATTGGCAGAAGTTGTAATTCATAGGCCACTGGATCCGGTCCCAGTGGCTTAATGGTCTACCAGCTCTCCTTGTAATCAGAAGGTGCTGGGTTCGAACCCTGGTGGTGGGTACGTACTGATGAAGAGTCCTAAACTAGGAGGAAACAGCTGTCTAGTGCTCCTTGATGGTTTTCCAGTGGTTCTCTAATTGATGTCAGCTCAATGAAATAAACCTTTGTACATGTGTTTGTTTTATTTGCAATACATTTTGGTGGTTGCCGGTTGAAAAGTATTCATTAATTGGATTACTTTTACAACTGTTTATGTCATCTGCATTTTACTCACATGACTTGAAAGGAAAAGCTTCTGTGTGATATTCCTTACACATAGTTCTCTAGGCTTGATTACAGTGAACTACCTGATGGGTATTTTTATGTTTTTTGTTTTTATAAAATGATATATGAAGTGTTTAAAAAGAGATTAGCATAATTTCATAATATCGGATTACATAAGAATGTTGTGAATCATCACTATTATTAAACGTCGTTGTCTTTTTTGCTTGTTGCGTGTAATCAACCTTCAACAAGATGGGGGCTCCTTTTCTCTAGATAACAATCCACGGAAATAGTAAATTCAGCAAGTATTTCATTGATTTATGTATGCGCACTTTTCAAAATACACACTACAGATGAAATCTGAAAAAATGAACTAGTTGAAAATCAAGAAACATCTCTCAATTTGCATCTATTGATGTTAACTCTTTGGCCTTCCAAACGATGAGTAATTGGTTTGAGTCTCCGTGGGATCACTATCACTCACTAGGGAAGTCAGGTACATTCACTTAACGAGTCCTAAATAAGGTAAAATGCGTATCCTGGATTCCGAATTAATTAATGGTAACCAGGATTGTCATGGGAATCATGCAGACATACGGATTCATTCCGGTTCTTTAATGTAAAATTCGTCTACAGATGGTTTCGTTTGGCATAATGAATTCCCACATGTATAGGTCAAATACATTCAGGATGACTGAGGAGCGTAGTGGTTCATTCAACTGGGTTATATTTCTCTCTCTTTTCTATTATTTCAGGGTATTTTCAGTCTCTCCTGATCACTGTTTCAAAAATAGTGTAAAGACTGACACCATAAACAAAATGTGCTGCTATTCTATCTGCATAGATGCTTGAAGGTGAGACGTGATTCGTATGCATTCCACGTATCAGCAGTTCTAAATTCGTGCCAATTTTGTGGCTGAAAAAGAAAAAAATGGAGAGTTGATTGGTTCGTTGATAAAACGTCAAAACCTTCCGAGTGCTTTGATATTCAGGTGGAATCATGTACTGGTTAAAGAATGAGAGCTGCATTAACCTCTATCAGAATAAAATTATGGATTTATAGAGATATGTTGGTAAGGCTTTAGTGAATCCCGCTATCTCAGTAGTACTTCATTCCTCATAGAGTCATACCAGGTTCAAAATTGGGACCAAAATAAGAAGTGAAGAACAAGACTACGCTTAAGACTTGGAGAATACCATGAAAGAAAATGAATGGTTTTTGTAAGTCGTGCACGTAGATGAAAATGATGGTAAACAACCGAGTACAATGCAAATGTGCCTCTATTAACGAATGTCCCACTGGGAACATCAAGAAGGAATAACAATATAATAAAGAGGTTACCGTGTCTTCAATCATAGTACCTCTACAATTATCGTGGCAAAGAAACACAATGGTTCATCACCATGTTTCCAGTTTACATCTGCATCAAAATCAGTGAACGATTGTAATACTTTATAACATTCTTATCTCTAAAAGCTGTGTGATTACAAACGATACTTATGCTTTTATGTCCAGCTGAACATGACAAGTTTGTAGATATATCTCGCACGATCAGTTGTTTTGATTGTACTAGAACTGAACTAAAATCATATATTAGAACCAGTGTTAGTGCTGAGAACTAATTTGAACACTACGAATTTACTGTAAACATTTTGACGGCTTGAAATGCACAAGATAAGCCTTGAGGCACAAGAAGCAAAGACGACTTGGTTGAAATACTAAAGGGTCTGTGGCTGAATATCGTCAAATGTACAGTGAGTGCGCGTCGATAGGAAAAACAGCAAAGCTCTGTCAAATGAGATCCATGATCAGATTAAACAGTGTGCGAATACCAGAGAGGGAAAAAAGAAGTTGAATAAACATGGTTCAACAGAGAATGTCATGTGAATAATGCATATGGAATAAATAATTACAAAAATGTGACGAAATGTACTCGTTCTACTTACAATATTGTAAGTAGTATAAAAAACAATAAAGAAAGAACAAGTTGATAAGAAAGGAATTAACAGTACTTCACTTAGTGTTTTAAACTAAACACAGTCAATCGTGACCTTACAACCCTAAATCTTTCGAATAAAGTAATTCATTGTCAACTACCGAAAAGATTCTCTGGAGAATATTTTCAGTCATTTCCAGATATTAGCAATCGCGGTTATATCCTTTATATATCAGGCCTATACTCCAGATAAGTTTTCATTATAAATCGATCACTATACAGACCTCCCACTTTATATCATCATTAAATATTTTTCAGCCCAACTAAATAAGAGCGAAACCCTCTTAGGACCCTTACCCAGGTTTATTTCTTAGGTTTCTGAATAGAAGATATTCTACATACCGGTCACACCCGAGGAGAATTGATTTCATCCAGACTAAACTCACTTACAGATACTATTCTGAACCCAAATGACATGACAGTAATGCCTTCTCTGTTAGAGGAGAATACTTCAGCGGATTTCATAGAACTATACAAGAGCTTCCCCTAAAACCGGTTGGATAACCAACGTCTACCTTAGGCGCTTCTATTGTGGTTCATGTTTGCAGACTACAAACTGAACATTATCAACAGTCAAATAACCATATGATGGTCGAATTACCAACAAAATTCCTGTTATATTATTATGAGCTTGAATACTGTGACAATAATGCCGCCCAGCCCTAATGGTCCTAATGAAGTAAAAAATTCAGTAAACATTTGAGCGAAATCCCTGAAACTATGTTTTCAACCAATGGTATTATACTTAGAAGCGATGAACCCCTGACATGAATCATCTGATCTCATGACAACAGAATCTCCTTCCTACTAAATAATGCCTTAATAAGATGCTGAAATCACTGCCATTGTTCAAATAGTTAAAAATTATCCGGTTGGAACAAGCCAGTGCGGTATAAAGTACTTGTCAAAATGTCAGTAACATTTTGAAAAAGACAACAAGAAAGAACACATATGATTGATCAGTTATGGTAACCCTTAGTTCATAATGAGAAATTGTCAGAATTGGCGTATGAGTTGCCCTGGTCTGAATTCTCAGAATTTTCATCATTATGAAGTTATGCTTTCGTGATAAGACAACGGGTGCAAATGTTCTAACGAAGTTCTCCAACAAACTTGGGAAGCAAACAGTTTATAAATATATCAAAAACTATCATTGCATCAGAACAGGGAATCTGTATGTCTTTCAGCTCGAGTGAAAACTTCTTTTTGATGGCTAAGTGTTCTGCATAATTGTGTTGCAGATCGGCCATACAGTCGAAGTTGCTGTCTGTGTGTGATATAAGCTGATTTATTTTGCTGCGAAAAAGTGAATCAGATATCTATGGTGAATTGTGAAAGATAATCTAGCTACCTTTCCTGTTTTGGAGACTGTCTATCTAGGGAAGCAGTAAAGACATAATAAAGTGGTTTTTGGTCCGTGGACATATTGAAATCGCAATCTTATCACTAACAACTGAAATGTTGGACTGCGAAGAATGTGGCTAACAGTCATTTGCCAGAAATACTATAGCAGGTCTGAGCATGCTCAGGCTTTTTTTAAAAGAAGGCAAGAAGAGTAACTTGACTAGTCATCTTTTCCTGTAACACTGTCCTTACTTCCACGTAAGATGTAATTGTACAAAATATGTGAGATGATTTTGTACTGATATGGGATATCAAAACTACTTGCAAAAGTACATTCTTAGCTTTTATTAGCCTTTCTCTTGCTTCCGAATCAAAGTGAAATGTTTTTAATTTTCCCTAGAGAAGATCTGCTAAACGCCGCAAGACTGAGTCATTTAAAAGAGTAAATCTTTGATAGAAAACTGAACATCCCCAAGAAGCGCTTAACTTTTTCAAGACATTTGGTTCAGGGAAAGTTTCACTTGATCCTATCTTTTCCACAATGGTTTCTACTAGGAATAAACTGCGTTTAATCTTATTCCTTACATAAAAAAGGGACTTGAGTGACTGTCAACAACATCCATCGAATTAGGAGGTTGAACCTCAACTAAAGGCAGACGAATGTACATCTACTGAGTGTATGTGAGAATTTCCTGTGGTAGTGGCTTGTCTCAAGTATTCCTGTTGATTTCTTAGAGTAAACAAATTATAATTATATTTCAGTAGTTTACACACAATGATAGGTTTTTTGTGGCAATATTTCCAGCACAATTACCACCCATGATCACACCAACTGTCGGAATTATTTTTTAATTCCTTATGTCGGTTAGTCTTTTAATGGGAAGACTGTCAGCAGAATTAATGTCATTAAAAACAATAAAAAACAATCCAGCAGACAGAGTGATCAAAAGAAGTGATTTTGCTTGAAAAATCACCAAAAAACTGAAACCTATCATGTAAACTATTGAAATAAAGTTATAGTTTATTTGATCTATTCCACAGTGCCCAAACTTTTTACTGACATTGATGTCTTAGAGTGTTTTAGAGAAAACAAGAACAAGAGATTCATAAAGAAACTGGGTGTGTCTGAATGCTTTCATATGGATTCAAAAACATTCATAATGAAAATTATAACTCCTAGATGAATCAGTTAGTTGGTCGTCTAGTTCTGTTCAAAATACAAATCTACCATACAGGTGAGATGTGAATACCTACAAGATCGGTCCTTCGTAATTATAGAAGCACTTAGAAAGAATAGCATACGTATATCAATTACAGAAAGCATCACTACGCCATTTTTCGATAGCGGCTGGGACTGAGTTTTCACGTGACTTTGAAGTCAAGTCTGTATATTCAGGCAAATGAGAAGTAATTATTATGACAAGAATTACGTTATATATTCTAGACAATTGACGAATACTGGCAATCAACCTCTTCTCTTTTCCATATTCTGTTGTATTTAGATAACGTAGAGCGTACTTCTGATTTTATTTTCATCTGACATCGTTGACCCATCGGAAAAATCAACCTCGATTTCCCGAAACGTCTTGTTACAATCAGACAGATTCCAGTGTCGGTGGCGTTACAAATTCCGCATTGATATCATGGGCCACTGGCTTCCATTACAGTGGCTTAATGCTCAACGAGCTAGCCTGGCGATCTGGATGTCCGAAGTCCCATCATTGGTGGTGGTGTGAGTCCGCACTCCTGATGAGTCTTAGATCGGGGTAAAATAGCTGTTCGATCCTCCCTTCTTCTCAGCGGTCCTGCAACTGATGTCAATTCATGATGCTACTTGGAGTCAGAATCACATTTTAGCTTCATCTTAACATTTGTGCATGTAAAATGAGAAGTCATTTTACGGTAACAGATTAGTTTAATTTTTAAAGCTTTAAGAAATGTCAACTATTTTGAAATAAACATCAGAATTATTTTACCAAACAGTCAGTTTACCTCACTATTTTCACAAAATGGTATTTGAAGAAGACAGTTTTCCATTTTGTTATAGGTGGATTAGATTTCATCTACAGGAAAAAAGTGTTTATCATTATTCATAGTGAATAGATTGCAACATTATTTTTAGAACTATTTAGTTACTTAAAATAACCACCTCATAAACATGAATGTCATATTAAAATACTCATTAAGTAATTCAATGTGATCATATGTCGAAAAATATAATATAATATGGAGAAATTGTATTTCAAGGCAACTGAGCAGAATACGGATGAGGTGAACAGTTGGAAAAGTAATTTAGTAAGCAAACGCTGAACCTAACCTCCGTACATTGCGAGTAAAATGAACACATACAAATATGCCTAAAATGTTTATTTCTTAGAAATTATTGCGAGAGAGAAAACCTTTATGGTTGTTTTCTAACATTCAGACTATTTACTCTTATGATTCATTACACACCTCTCCACTTCTACCGTTTGCAGACGCAAGACATCGCCATGCATGTAATCATGTAGAGGTGTTTGAGGGGAGGTGACCAGTTACGACCAATTTGCTATAAAAATGTTCTAGTGGCCTCTGTTTTAATAGCGAGTAATTAGTTTTATCAACGGTACAAATGTTTAAGTTTCCATTGCTCTTTAACAAACTGTCAAGTGTTTGCATTCGAAAACAATATGTCTGAATATATGTGAATATCTAGTGCTTGTTATATGATACACTTTCCTAATAAAAAGTAGTCATCAGAAACTCACATTTTCCACCTGCGTGTGATTCACATATATGATATGTATTTGCCCATTTTGTATAAAACTTTGTACAGTCAGTTAGTCTATTTTATTTTTGGGTTTTACCTTCTTTAATAGGGATGATGGTGAAGTAGATGACATAATTCACTGCAGAAGTACTATTTTTCACTTTTATCAAATATCTATCCATGGCATCTCAAAAACCCCGGCTCTAAATATTTGTTTCATCGCTCCATATTCATAATTTTGAGATTTTTATCCTCAGTCATTCACTAACAGTATTTCATAAAGAGAAATAATGCTTACAATTTTTGCCTGGAAAGGAAATTAAACGAAAAATAGTGTGCGATTAATCTTTACATTTATGTTATTATTGAAGAAAGTACTCAATGTTTACTCAGTCAGATATAATTCACTTTAGAGGGGGAGGAAAACAGTTTTTATTAAAAATTATAAAGTGTAGTGAATTCCACATAGAAAATGAAGTGCTATTTTAGACAGATGATTACTTGTTTCTCTAATTCGCTTACGCCACTAACTATCTAAGGTATTTTTTAAATATCCAGATAGTGGATATCGCGAATTTTTTGGCAAGATCAGGTTAATGAGAATCTCAAAATCCAATTGTTGCATGCTGTTAAGGATGTAGATTCGGTTTTGTGCTACAAAATAGCTAGCAGGAAAGAGACTGCTGTCATAAGAATTTGATAACATCTATTTTACTTGGTTATAAATTCAAACACATGCGACAGATGAACTATTTCAGGAACCAACGGAATGTGTGGATTATTCAGTTTTGAGGACATAGTTTTTATTTGTGATGGATGAATGGAAACCATCAAAGAAGTTAAGAACAATTTGAACGAAGTGTGGTTATTTAGTTATGAAAAGTAGTTCAACGTTTATTTCTTGAGAAATGTTCAGTGATTCAAAAGTTGTTCTCCTCCTAACTATGTGAGTATTTGTTCTACTTATTCCATTTGCATCTAAATGAAACCAAATCACATCTGTCATGTTCACTTAACAAATACGTACATGCAACCAATGGAAATTTAAAAGTAAACATAAATCTTAATAAAGCCTAATACAACAGTTTCATTTTAGTGTGAAGTCGACAGAATTTATAGCCATTTTCAGAATCACTGTAACTATTCATAGTTTCATTAAGAGGCTATATAATATTAATTTAAAATCTATGAATTCTCTATGGCATGCCAAACAGTGTTCAAATCACTGTAACAACGAATAATTTCAGATTTAACGTTAAACAGAGAAATATATTGTGTTTTGAAAGATAAGGCAACAAAATGGACAAACACTTTATGAAAAAATTAAACTTCATTCCACAAGAAGGACCTAGATTTCACTTGACATAAATAATATTGCACAGTTTCTAAGTCGTAACATTATAAGAAATAATGGCCTCAAGATTAATGACCTGAAGCTTCCCCATCTAAAACCAGGTATTGACCAAATCACCTTTCCACTAAAGTCTCAAGAAAAAATGACCCTCTATTATGTAGATGGGTGAAAATGTAACTGTCCGCCTAACAGGAATCAACCATTCGAATAATTCCAGGATATCAGGAACTATAAGCGCCTCAATGCACTCTTATTTATCACACAAAACATTGTCACCGGCCTACTAGTTCGTGACTATCAGATGGATATCGCCAACAGTGTACAGTGTAACTGGAAATATGTAGACATCTCTGTTTCATTAGATAAGATATAAGTAAAATGAAAGAAACACCCTACATTTGGACGCCTGATTTTTCACATAAGTAACCGCATTTCACATTACCCTTTAGTTTTATGCAGTACCCATGGGTAATGATACGTGTTGTACCAATTAAGGGCCATTAAAAATGCCTAACAACGATTAACATTTCAGTGAAAAAATAAGATATAAAATAAGCAGTCTCACATCCGATTTTAGCGGTAGGACACAGTAATATTTTGTAGCAAAGTTATTTGTTGGAAAAATAATATACAGCGATAGCAAAATACAGAGACCTCACACTGGAATTAACGTTTACACAAGTTCTTTCCATTCCTTCTTCCCTACTTTGTCTTCCTTTCATGCTTTATAAACTGCTTTACAAAGATCTTGCATTCCTCCTCTTCGCACCTTAATCCCTCGCTTTGCTATCCGATATTTTTCCAGAAGACTTCATGCAACGTGCTACTTTTAAATTCCTGTCAGTAGCGCAAGCTGCAGATTCTTCGAAAGTACTTTAATAATGTTTTTGGTTAAAACGTTGTCTGTGAATCAAGTGTTCATCCATTTAACTGAACATTTTTCTGACATGGGAAATTATTTAGTACGGAAATGACAAACTCCACTTCTTGGTATATCACCATGATGAAAATTTGATGAAGCTCATGCTTGTGCTGATTTTTAGTACATTCAAATCACTTTTATAAACATTTTAATAGCTAAAGGTACAAACTAACCCCTGCAGCCTTGAAAGAAACCAGGTAATTCCGTCATATTAATGTACTGAGAACAAAGAAATGTGAGAATTGATGGTTGTGCAAACTGCATAGAAACTGAAGCTTTCATTTAATTTGCCAGAAAGGCGAGGCATAGACTGAAAGGAAGTAGATCTCTTTGGGTAGTTAATCAACTCATCATATGTTTCATTATTTACTGTTTATAACTTTACTAGCCTCTAGTATGTAGAATGCACGTTTTTAATAGCACTTTTTACGTTACTATAGAACAACAAATGTATTAATGAATCAAGAATATAGAATTTGTTGAGCCTAATTTAATTTACTACATTGGTACAACAGTAATGCATGGGTATAACTAACTCACAGTCTGTGAAAAATTTGTCTTCTAATATTCAAGAATTTGAGGGTTTATCATGTATTATTGTTATTGGTAATTCAAGTGAACTATTTTCAGGCTTCCAGTAAATAAGTTTAAAAAAGGCTAATATGTACTATATACAAAAAAACGAAATTAGACTAAGCATCATAAAAGTCATAAATATAGCAGTTAGGAATTAGACATAAGGATAAATATTATGTCTTAATAAATGGACTCTATTTTATTAAGCTAATGCCAACAATAACATGTTCTCCATGCTAACATTTTGACATTCAGAGATTGTATAATATTCACATTCATTTTGTTTAAAATCACTAATTCTAATTCCACTCATTCTTTTAGTAAGCTTTTTTCGTCCGAGTAACTTGAGTTGAAGACGTTGATAAGTCGTAATAAGAAATAATGAATTTTATATTTTATAATTTAATTCCATTTGGCGTTGAACCAAAAATTGGACCTTTTTTGGACTAATGAAAGATATTTCGAATCACTTAATGAAGCCATACCACAAACTGTCTAACAAATTCTGTGATATCATCAGCTTTACGTGACAAACTGCTTTACCATTACATTAGACAACTGATCAGTGAAAAATGCTATCACTACTTCGCTATGTTGAAATAACTAACCAGTTATCACTGTGCTTCCGAAGTTTGACATGATAAGCAAAATCGAGAGGTTTACTTTTTTGGCTATACCTTAAACTGATAAATACATGTATGCGTATTTTTTTGTGCAAGTTCTATTTGCCTACTTGGATTAATTATAGCTAATCTGTGACTGACTACTTACGTAGTTCGCGAAGCGCTTCTTCTGTAAGACAAGCAACACAATTTTAATAAAGCAGGATTTGAAGAAGCTGTTCAATTTCGGTAGAATACTTCAGATGGATACTGCGTCATCCTTTTCATTAATACCACGTGAAATATATACGAAGATATGAAGCAAATTATTTCAAAGAAGACATCGGTTAAAATATCATGCCACTTGTTTACTGATGTCTTGTTACATTTTAGCGACAGGAAGTTATAATACCTTAAAATAAAAAAATCATCGTAAAACAACAGCAGCAGTATATAAGCGTGGTAGTCTAGCATGTTAAGTTCAGATTTGGAGAAACAGTTTGCTGTCAGGAAAAGTTTGGAATTAGGATTGCAATGCACTTCTGTCCAATTGTATCATTGGAATGGTAGCCAATTTGTATAGTAAAAAATATTAATAATAATATTGAATTATTATCCTGTTACTGGGATGGTTTCCAAACACAATTAAGACAAGGAACTGAAATGTTTATTTTGATAATTATACTGATTATATGGGGTTTCAGATAATATAACAATAATCCTTTGTGAGGTATGCCCACTGAAACAGCAGCATCCTTTAAACTCGAAGCTTCAATCATTTTCTCTAGAAAGAACTCATTGTTAGTTGTAGAATATTCGTAGTTGTTTCATGAACATAAAATGACACTTTTCTTTGAATAAACGTTTTAGATACACGCGTCTGCTGACTCCAAGTACCTTTTAGTCTAGATAAAGATTTTTGCAAGTTTTTTTAGTAGGTTTGTAACAAATAATGCATATCGCATTCGAGCTATAGTTTTTAGAATTTAATTTGAACTCACCGAAATATGGACATAACTCCTTTATTTCTGAAATACAGAAGGATCTTTTAGTTTTGATAATTTCACGGTAGATGTTTGTACTATTTTACTGAAAGAAACTTGGTGATTAATTATTTAAACTTCGGTGAGATCTACACAAATATGTTTATAGAATTACTCAATCAAATATTGATAAGTTTATGTATAAATCTGTTTTATTCATAACCAGGCAGTTTTTCTTGTGATATTTAAATTATGCCATAATACATCGTTGAGAAGTTCCCATTAGTAGACCAACAGATACTTCAAAATATTGATGAGGACCCACCTGACTATCGCGTTGAGGTAAAAATCAAAGTCGGCGAAGTTAAACTTTCGACACCACTAACTACCAATCAGCGAATTATCCAATGAGATTCACGAACGATGTCGAATTATCCAATGAGGTTCACGAACGCAGTTCAGTGTTGTATAGTGCCTGATTCATTTCTAATGCGTGACCTCACAAGGCTGTTGTTGCAATTCGAGGAGGTTAGTGTTTCCCAGTATTTCCTAGACTTCAGTTGCTTCGGAAAGAACGAATTTGATTGTGTGGTGGTATCATGACTTTAAAAAGCTAAACCAAATCAACTGATGGGTTTGTTCATCGTTGTGCTATATGTTTGAAGCCTACTAACACTAGAGTGGGTATGCTGATAATTTTATTATTTCGTAGGAACTTTTTTCGCTAGGTCGCTTCTCTCCCTAAGGATAGCAGATAGAAAAGCAACTACTCTTATACCTATTGTTACCAGAATTGTTAAGCGGGGGTCAATTATGCACACGGAAAGGCTACAATTCGCTGTCATCTCTGGGATATATTCATCGTAGAGACAACCATTCAAGTGATTTTGTGGATTCCGTTACGGGGACACATACAAATTCTAATGAAGGATTTAGGGGCAGGTTGGAAAATAGGATAAGGGCTTTAAATGTATCTCAAAAGGATCTCATTTATAGTCATTTGGATGAATATATGTACAGGATATGGTGTAACTTCTCCATTGACAGTCCCATGCTAAACTGGGAGATTTTTCTCTCACATGTTCGAGAAAGATATCCCATGTAACCTTTTTTATTATCTATTTTATGCTTTTTTCTATAAATATACATTTCCATTCATCATATATGCCTCTTTAATGTGATTGGTCTGTTCGAGGTCATTTGCTGATTGGTTGTTAGTGGTGTCGAAAGTTTAACTTTGCCTCAAAGTCTCTCAAATTCAACAAATATCGTTCAGGGGGAATGAATATTGAAGGTAAGGTGATTATTGATTATTGACTTCATGCCTGCTGCAATGACCCCTAATTTATATGTTTTTCTTCACTGCTTTGTAGTGGACTTAAAAATGTGAGTTTTATTTATTTTGTTTTCCTGTGAACATCAACAGTTTCGTCGCATTATTCACAGTTTCCAATGTTTGAAAGAAGTACATTAGATCATGGACTGAAATGAGTTACAAAAAAAATTTAAAACAAGGAGTACTGGATTGAAGTTCCCCTCTAGGGAGTCTTCACCCTGAATAGGTTTATAATAATAGTCAATAAAGTATTATGAAGACTTTATTTAACATATAAATTAATGTCTTTCGAATAAATATGGAATAATAGTTAAAGCAAACGTACGACTATATTTATCGTCTAGGCAGCAGGTAAAGGTATTATAAAATATTCAGTAATCATCAATACTTTGCACTAGCAGCTTTACTCACTTATTAAGTTTATTGTTTTAGGAATTTGGAATATAACACATTCATTCTGATATCAATTATCTCTGAAACAGGTGGAAATAAATATGACATTATTTACTGTCATTAGCAAATGTGTACTCATACATAATGACTGGTGGCTTCACACTGAATTATTTAAACTTATTTTATTTCCGAAGAATAAAGCTGATGTTAACCGTATATTACTTTTATTGCAGATAATGATTTAGGCAGCATTGAAATGTTAAATAAATTTACAGAATCATCACTTACATAGTTCCACTATTGTATTGCAGAAACGTTATGCATAAATAACGCTACCTCAGAGAGTATTTTAAAGTGAAAATTGGAAAAATAAGTAAATGTTCTGATGTCTACAAATATTTCCATTTTGCTTCAAATTCGAAAACTAGTTACAATTGCTTATATGTGTTTGGCTTTTTCCTGTGTTATCCATGCCTAGTTCTGTGTCGCCAAATTTTTCTTCTATTATATCAACTGATTCATTAAACTGCATACTTTCGCTGATATTTGCTTCTGGCTTTCATTACCACTGATGTTCAGTCGACCATTTTAGTGTAAACAGTAGACAGCATATTGTGTGGCAGGTATATTATCTCAGCCATATATATCTAAATGACATTCAGTCTGTCTTCATAAGTATGCGCTGAATACACCACTTGTCGTTACTTTAGAATGGTCAGGGTTATTTAATAATGAATGCAGAACTCATGATTACCTGTACATTGTGAAAATTACGATGAAGTGTATTCTGTATTCACTTCCGAGATAAGTAATGCACAAACTGATTAAACACGTTTAGGAAGTTGTTAAAATCAGAGCAAATCACCACTTACACACCCTCCCTATGAATTGTAAATTTTTGGTTGTGAAAGTAACATTTCGTCATTATAAGCATTTCATTATAACAGAATTGTCATTTGAAAACTGCAGGATTTCTTTCAGAAGTCATGAAATATTTAAATCAGAATATATGATTAACCTGATATCGTAGATGAAAGTCGAAATATCAAACAAAGCAGCACAGTACCATAAAGTTATATTGCCATGGAAATCTAGAGACCTATAGTGTCAACAAGTAGCTCCTGCTAACCAAGTGGAAGACTGAAGTTCAGTCCAGTTACTTTTTTGTTGCTGTCGCTCCTTCATCCTATAATAAAGACCTCACTGTGTCCTAGGAAATCAAAATCGGCTGTAATTCCTAATAATACTTATCCATGCTTTTTACACAATTCGAATGATTTAATGTACACGTGAATAAACTAATTAAGTTGTAAGAGTGCCATGATATTGAATTTTGAGGTAACATGTTACCCGAAAAATTAAAATTAAAATGCTGGATGGAAAAGATAGATCAGTATCATGCAGATTTGTGTGTGTTTTTACGTAATGAAAGCAGACGTGAATGATTCAGAATTCAGCACTCTCACTTTTCGACAGCAAAATATCTTTAGTGAATCTGAGGGTGATATGGAGGTGATCTTGTGAGCAGTAAATGAGAGACTAAAGAGAGTCATGGAACCAACTAGAAAACACTGCAGAGATCATAATACAATGGAGATGTATTTCTGCAGCATTACATTCCACTCGAAATTCAAGGGAATAACAGGAATAAAATACGGGTTAGTGGAATGAAAGTATTAATGTAAAAACACCCAGTATTTCAACCAAAAATTGAAGCGCTTTTATATATGCAAAACGTAGTTCTCAGTGATGTGTACAATTATGGAAAAATGTGTATATTGTAGAATGGAGATATTCATTTTGATTCACTATTAGGGACTGATACTAAATAAGAAGGTCAGAAACAAGTCATGAAACAAGTGAATGGACTATGTGATGTAGTAAATCTGCATAATGTATATAAGGTTTATCAAAGGAAGTTCTAGAGCGCAGAAACATAAAAATCTTTAGGAAATATTTTGTATAAAGTTCAACCACTAAAATGGCTTAAAAATAGATCAATACCATTCAGAGACTAAATTTCAGAATCATGAGACAAATAAATGAGTTATTTGTTTGCAATTACTTTGATGCATTTTATCTTGAGTAATATGCTGTTTTCTGCATATGAAAAACGTAAATTTCATCTTATTTACACATTAAAGTTCGCTGTTTTGGATTCTTGAGTTTAGAGAAAACAGTTACACGTCCTTGAGGTATTTCACGACATTTCAAACAGTCATCAAATTAATTTTCAATGAATATTTATAATAAGTGTGAAAAGCGTGGACACTGTAGTAGTGTGAAATTCCATATTTTTGGTTCATTTGATGTACCTTACAAGGCAAAACAGTATTATTTGGTGAATGACGATTCAAACACTCCATAATCATATAAACTGTGACCAAGCGAGTATTAAAAATGAATCAGCGCCCTTTTAATTGGAGGCCTGCTTAAAAATTTGCCTCACTTCTATATTATACATAATTTCTCTTCCTCGCCTTGTTTTTACCAATTAATATGACCTACAATGCTACTATTTGCTCTAGGGAGTATTTAAAATCTTTATAACCTGAAGATTTGCAAGTTTCTAAACTTTTGCTCAATATGGGAGGTAAATCTTTCTGAGTTATATCTTTGGGACTCGAACTGAACTACTAGACCTTTTCTAATTGACTTTCAGTCAGAAATCGTGCAATCCTGGAGGGCTAAAAAGAGGTCATACAGCATTATATCGCTTCATCTTCTGTCAATTAATATTTTATTTTGAGATACTGGACGAAGAGAAAATATCATACAATAAACTTCACTGAAAATTCTGTGCATTAAATTAATACTGTCTAGAATAAGGGTATTATTATTGTGTTCTGGAGGTATAGAAGAATCTGCCTCTTTGATGAAAATGGTAAGGAAAAACAAGAACTATAAAAATCGAGTCACAAAGCTGTAAAGTTACAAGTGATTGATTATGAACAATGAATCACCTCCATAACATTATCCATTGAGTGAAACTTTTTCACTGGATAATAATTCCGATAGATAAATAATTATGGAACACTTGTTTAAACATTTTTAAACTAAATTGAACAGGTAACTAAGGTCCTAATGAACAAAATGTTATATATATACAGATCATGTTAAATTTTCAAAGAATGGTTACTGAAAAAAGAATGCTGTTTTTGATAACTTCATCATCATCAGTACATTAATCAAGTTAGTGAACGAAGAACACTGATAAGCAGTTAGAGCATATGAACGAAGTTGAAAGGAAGCCAGAGGCTGGTGAATTTCTGACAGGCCCTACAACCAATCTCTACAATTATAATGATGTTGAGTGAAATAAGGTGCAACTCAAGGTACTTTCCTTTGGCCTTATATCCTGCGTCAGACGGTAATAAGTCATTCACTAAGATAATGACATTGAGTTTGAAAAGCTATTAAGTCAAACAAAGGATCTAATTCCATCATCCACCCTGGAACTAGAACACTTCAAATCTAATCTAGTGGATTGTTGTTATCAGTAAAAAACATCAAATACGATAGTAAAGGTTTCTCGACAAAGGGGCACAGCGAAGAACTGAAGAAACTAATTAATGATAGGAGACTGATCATCACAAATCCTGATAAAGGATCAGGAGTAGTCCTTCTTGATAAAAGTGACTATATTAAAAAGGTGAATGATACATTTAAGGACACTCAGAAGTTTCAAAACATGAGGAGAAGAAAGATTTCAATAACAAAATAGAGAATGAATTAACCAGACATCAAAGATGTATTTGAATTCGTAGACAAAACCAAAGATATTAATATCCAGGACAAGATCATGATATCTCCGGACATGACATCTTTATTCACAAATGAACCTCTAGTAGAAGTGGCTAACTAAATTTGAGAACAAGTGTATAACCAGTCGATAAACATTGGCATCCGTACGAAAATCCTAAAAGAATTGTTATTGAGGTGTACCATGGATGTAAATTTCAAATTTGACGGCACACTTTATAGACAAGTGGACAGGGTGGCGATGGGCTCCCCATTGGGTTCCATTTGGGCTGATTTCTTTCGAAGTAAACTAAAAAATGGACCTTTGAACAACCTTATCAGAAAGTTCTCATTTTATTGCCGGTATATGTATGACATCTTCATTCTTTGTGATAATGATTCGGATGGGAGTACGATGATAACTGAACTTAATGAAGTACATTCGGCTATGAAATTCACGTACAAAGAGGAATCTCAAACCAGAATTGCCTTCCTGGATGTCCTGCATACTAGAAAATCAGATGGTGGTATAAAGAGGAAAATCATATGGACACGACAATATGCACATTTTCATAGCTTCATTCCTCTTCAGTATAAAAGAAATTTAGTAATAATCCTCAGCCACAGTGTCAGAGCTATATGTTCAGAAGAGGTGAGTGAAGATGAACTGAGGATCGTATATGATATTTCGATTGAAATTAGCTACCCAGTAAAGATCATCAGGAAAGACATGACCGAGAAAGTGGAAAATGACTACTCTCCATCTGTAAATAAGAATCCTTAATATATACGACTGTAATAATAGGTGATACACCCAGTGAGATAATCACTAACAAGTTAAGGAAATCTATTCAAACAACTTTTGGTGCTCGTAAACTATAAGCCACTATTTCAAAACGACTGATGGTGATTCCTCGACTGAAAGATGAGGCACCTAGACTTGCCACTTCTAATTGAATGTACCAATTCAACTGCGCTTATGAAGCGGGTTATATTGGTCGTTGCTGTAGGAACTTGATGTTTTGTCCTTGTTCAGGAACATCTACGAGTGTGGCGAAGTAAAGGTTAAGAAAACCACTGACAGTTACACATTAGTTTACTTGATCCAAACCTGCCACTAAGCCAGCACTGAAGAATTCTTCTCTTTCGTCTGCCGGGTACCAAATAAATTGCTAAAAGCTTCCAGGTGTCCCACACTGCAAGCGGCGGAAGCCATCGCGATTCGCCTTGAACAACTGGTGCTCTGTGTGCAGAAGAAGCAATTCCAGCTACCACTACTGCTCTGACCGGCCTTCAGTGGAGACTATAAATTCATGAATTTGTATTCAAGTATTGGTTTGTAGGGATTTGGTTGGTTGGTTACGGGATTTCTTCATGAACTGACACCGGGACTCGAGCCCTGGGGGTGCGTACTGATGAAGAGTCCCAAACTAGGACGAAACAGCTGTCCAGTACTCCCAGGTTTTCCTATGGTTCTCTAACTAATGTCAGCTCATAATGAAATCCTGTAACCAATTCATGAATTTGTATTATTATCTTTCTTAATTTGCCTGTCTGATATTCAGTGTATTGTTATATTGATGCTATTGAACTGTAACCTACTAGTATTACTGATTCAATGTTATTGAAACGACATTAATGTTGCTAATAACAGTAATTCATTCACTACTATGCATGTATAGCTGTAGGACCTGATGATGAATTTGTCGAAAAGAGTATTCCTTGTTTAGTAAACAATCTTTTGAAAATTTTTATTAGGAATCTTCAATCAGTTTAAATCACGTAAAGTTTGACTGATTCTTAGTCAGTCTAAAACAAAGTAATTGCCTTTTAAGTTCTTCAAATAATTTTGGAGAAACCGAATATTTGTACGACAAATTATTATATCCGAAAAGTGGTTAAATAATTCAAAGTCTGTCAGACAATGTGTGTTTTCAATAACAGTCAAGATACCGTCAATATGTTAGCTTATCATTAATCCCTTCAATCAGCATTTCATGACTTTCAGAATCCCTCAGAAATACTTTGTATTCCAGTTTCCAGTCAACTCAGATGTGAAGGCAAAGAATTTCGACTGGGATCAGATGCCAACTAACTTTAAGGCTTCTCTGACAATTAAACAGCATACCTATCTCATTTCTAAACTAAATGGTTACTAAAAATGGTATTCCATACAAAAAAATACGTAGGACATCTTGCAGTATAAAAGTTGTCTCATCATGGCTTTACTAATTATATGAAGTGGAAACTTACGATTCTCGCCTTCCAAAATAAAAGTGAAGATAATAAAATACTCTAACAGCCTAGCGAGAGTTTGGCAAAATTTCGACGTAAATCAGCTCTGTTTTAGATTTCTTGAAGGATAGTGCTCGATAAAGTGATTAAGTTGTGGACGTCGCAAATACCATGAAGTCAAGGAATAATGTATATTTAATTAAAGATGTGATACTGTGGTGAGAGCTGGCTGCTAGCCAAAAGTGGTAGACAGTATTTTACGTCAATGCGAATGTCCCAAATATTGGTCGTGAGAAAATATGAACAAAGTCTGATTCAACAAACGACGACGGCACACTTTGCGTAGGCGGATGCAGTTAACATACAGATGATCTGACATTCACGAAACGGCGTTCAAAGAGATGCAAGGTTAACTTTCTGTGAGAAAAAACCAATCAGAAGACTGTGTTTGTTTGCATGAATAAGCTATAATAATGTACATGAAAATATATAAATACATGTTGATTTCCTAAATGAATTATTTCTTGCCTGGCCATTGTCTCTGTTGTTACAATACTACCAGCTATTAAGTATGCTACAGTTTAAGTCGTAAGATCTGTCTTGAAATGTAAAACAATTAAGATTCAACTACAAGTTTTTTCCGAAATATCAGTCTTCCTTCTTGTACACACACTGACATTTTCAATCAGTCTGTTATGTACTCGTCGCTAAATTATTGCTATGTACTGGTCGAGAATTTAATAGTCCTGACGCAAGAAGGCGGAAATCAGAAGACCACTAGGTTTGCGACGATACTTCTATTTTCCAAACACAAGGAGAAGCAATAAGTGGTATCACACCAAAAGTGGTAAGTAAGTGTAAGTCAGTCACACAATATTGTGAGAACGAAATATATATATATATATATCAAAATATAGCGGACATGTCAAACAACCACCATATATGGATATATGTCACTAAGCAACGGACTGTCAACAAACACTCATACTATATTATATATAATATAAGGAGAATATACATTGTTAAGGTGACAAGTTCATACAAGTGAAATGGTCACAGACTAAGAGAGCAAACAGAAAGAGAGACAACCATACACACACAAATATATATATGTGGATACATATCACAGACCTTATTATTTGTCTGTCTTTTTGATTTACCCAAACGTCTACTACCTTGTCATCTAGTTGTGTGCTGTTGCTCATTTTTAGTATGTTGTTTCACGAAGGAGATTCCGTTCGAGGGAAGTCATGGTTACCTAGCAGAGTAAATGATTGATCTTCAACGGTCGGAGGGGAAAGTGTTTGTTTTGTTCGATTCGTTGCAGACAGAACTGTGATCCCATCTTGATAAGAGCATTCTTCTAAGGTAGCTTAGAATTATGTCTATTCAACTGATTTTGTCATACAGTGCGTATTTGTGTACCTGACACACCACTGGACCATATACCTGGCAGAAGACATTGTTGACATTGTTTTGTATTTTTGATAAAACTTATCGATGCTGAGTAGTACCACAGATTCTGTTATTCTCAAAGGTCTTCTGATACTTTTGGAGTATAAGTTTGTACTGCAGGTCAGTCGCGGAAGTTTGGCAAGTTATACAAGAGGATAGGTCAATCGGTCTCTTGCGTTCGGATCGAAATAATTAGGTTTTAGTTATGACAGTGTTAACTACATTCTTCTTTAAGCCATTATTGTTGATCATCATGTACTCACACCATCTCCTAGAATATCTCAAATTATTTTGAAATTACTGCTTGTCGGTTTGATTACAGTACTTTAAAGGCACACTGACTGCCTACACCAATTTACGGACAAAACCATAAGTCGTAGATACCTTCAGTTATTTAAGTACATCTCATCAGAAATAACAGATCAGCCAACACAGTGCAGTGAAAATATGTTGTGTAATAAAAGCCATATGAAAGAAAAGGCTTACTTGGTCCGCAAACTGTAATCAACCAGATATGATACTCTTTGACTGAAGACTAGTAATGAATGCATCCTAAAAGTTAACATTAGTAGTGTACGCGGTAAAACAATATGTGAAAAAAAGTTAAATTTAGTTAATCAGCTTAGAATAAATTATCCATCAGTTATTAACAGAGGATATAAGGATGTTCGTTTAACAATCTCTACCACTTTAAGTCTTAGGAACTATTATATTTCTTCTGAACTTTCGTTTATCATCATTTTTCGGGCGATTTTGAGTGAAACAAAGACCTTTAAGTAAAGCTTTATGCAAATGTTTTGTTACACTGAGATTAGGTGTAAGCTGAATTAGCGGTACTGCTTCTGATTTATAGTGGTACGATCAATACAAATAAACTCCCTCACAGTAAATGCATGACACCTCCTAAAACACATATGAATCTTTCGATAGTGCATTATTCATTCCGCTGAAGCCTGCACAATACTTTACCATAACGATTCATTCCATAAATTAAGCTTATCTTCTTCTATATTTTATAGAAGATATCGTTTCGTAGCAAAAGGGAAACTTGTATAAATCGAATCACAACTTATACCTCAGTTATTGAAAAGACAAATTCCACTTAGACATCGTTATCTATAAGAGACTGTGCAGTAAATTATACCAGGAAGCAAAATGAGGAAAAATAGCCGAATGGACACCGACTCACTTGTTTGCCCAAATTGTACTGTATGGATGAAAGATAACTTTATTTAGTAGAGTTGGCATTTACTGAAATATTAGGGTCTGCAACTCGTCATTGTTAAAGAGTACTTAGTGTATAATTTAATTTGTTTTACTTCTAAAAGACAAAGGTTGTTTGAATCTTTCAGCATTCGTAGTGATTCAGCGGATATGACTGGTATCAGTCACAATGGGAAACAAATTATGAAGCGTTCAGTGAAATGATCACTATTCCTTCATCAGAAACGGGAAAATTACTGTCGATAAATGGTAACTCTTAACAGTCTACCAATAGGATAAGGCTATTACATAAGGCAACATTTATGACTTACATGCACTGTCACGAACTGTCCCTTCGTTAAAAATAATTTCCAAGGAAACTTTGTTTGTTACTATCACTGTCACCTGACACTGACAAGTTTATTCAAAATTGAGGTTACATTCAGTTACCTTACATAAATATTATTGCACTCCTATCTTTCTCCTCCAGCCACAGATTACCTGTAGTGATTACTACAGCAGAATACTATTCTTTTCATTAGAAATAAAATGATCAAAATGTTGGGAGTGTAACTGACAGGTGATTGACTGAATGGACTTTCACATGTTTAGACAAGGAATGTGGGTTACTGCCTTCAGTCACCTTAACTATTTACATTAGGTTGGCAGAAATTTATGAAGAATTAACGCATAATTCATCAAATTAAGTTAACTGGATTAATTTATGGAATTTAAACTAATGTGTGGCTCTTCTATTATTCTATTGAGTAGATTTGATCAAAGTAAAGCTCTGCAGTAGTCTTCTTTACGATTGCAGTGATACTGTTGTAAGTGCTTATGAAGACAACTTCTGTAAGTGAATTTCAATAAATAAATACTATTATGACAAGGAGTTGTTTAATTTCAAATATTGTACACAACAGAGAACAAACTGAGTCTTAATTAACGAAATTAACCGTTTCTCAATATTTAAGGAGAAAATTTATTATCACTTGAAGTAAATAATACTAAGCAGAAATGTGGCCAGAAGTTAGTTCAGCGATGCTGGAGTAGATATAATGTCGTTGAGGAATGTATGACCTCATTCTAATAGGAGTCATTGTTTTCTTCTGACAAAGTCAAATGCTTACATGCATCTCTTCATGATTCTTTAAATTTGTTATTTTTCCTACTGTTATTATTCATGATTCACTTATAATGCACTTAAATAGTATAGCGCCTTCAACCGGTTGAACTCAGTCGGCTATTTTTCACTGTGCTTCTTTAAAGCAGCAGCACACTGTATTGTTTGTTTAGTGCTTTTAAATGAAACTGTCTGTTTTACTTACCGAAGAGATCGCAGTTTTCATTCTCTTTAAGTGTACATAAATAGTAAACGAGCCCATTAATTGGTGCTCCACTAACTGGCTTTAGATAAAATAACACAAAATACGGTCGAATTAATTGACTCATATATACTTCGGAAACACCACTTTTCCGTGTTTAAGTAATTATGAAAGTTATTTGTGAGAGCTTCAGTTCGCATTCCGGTTGTATTGTTTTTCATCACTTGGCATTTAAAGCGCTTATAAACTGCTTAATATATATTCATATCTATAATACTTCACAAAGTGATTCTGGATTATGTCGAATTTCACAGTAGATAAGAATTCCGAAATTGAATACATAACCCTGAAACGTTAGTCGTTCATCATCAGATAATTCATATAAAACATGCGTTCTTTGTGATATGTTTCTCTCAAGTTCGGGTAGGCGTGAGCGGATGGCATCGATGAGATTCAGAGTTTGGCATTTTAGTGTCTTTGAATTAGGTAAATTGGATTCTGGTTGAGATTCTTCCAGTAATGTCTTGGATACTCATGCTTATCGATGCATTGTTTCAGTATAAATTAGGCTCCGTGTCAACTTCGGAAAGCTTGACAGAAAAAGGCAGGAATTTGTCCGGTTCCTTTACCGTTACAGGCTCCTTGAGTTCATAAACTAAGCTAAAGCTAAACTCTTGCAAATGGTGTTTGTTCAATTTCAGTTAAGTCTTTGGAAAGACAGTTCTGTAAAGTTTACACAAGAGGTGAATATAGCGTATCAAAGTGGTTAAATAACCATTAATTCCTTGCTTACGCTCTATATTGGTAAAATGAAAATAACAAACCTTTTTAAGACATTTATAAGATTTTTTATCACGATTTATTTTGCACCACTTCGATGATATTCTTTAATCAGATGGACCACTGAAATACGCTGAATAATCTAATAATACAAATACATAGAGGGCACTTGACAGAAAAGAAATGACAAAATATCTGATCATTTATCCACTTGAAATGAATTCTAACTTGATAACATGCGTGGTAAACTTGTATACACACATATTAAAGATGCATGATTCGATATTCATTTTTCCACTAAAATGGTAATTAGCACGCGTTCTGTTTTTGGGGTATCCCATTTTTCCTAATCAGATATCCAAATTTGTATTTAGGCATAAGCCTACTTCTGTTTCATTGAATTTCACCTTACTTACTGAAGACATACCAAGAACGAGACAGAAGTCAAGAGCAATAAATTAGTTGGTATCGTTCATCAGCCTTAACTACCATCTTATTACTTAGATAAAATCTTATTGTTTGATTCTATACTTCATATCGGTCATCTTGCCAAATTAAAATTTCAAGCGCTAAAGTTACATGATGTTATATTGGAATGCATAAAATACGAATGTCAAAATAAATTATGGTCCAGTTGTGACTACTGATTTAGAAGCTGTGGTGACAAATAACATATCCACGTTATTTGACACCAAAGCGGTTTGTGTCACATACCTGGCTGCTCTGTGGGAACAATAATATGTGAATAGATTAATTCTGTGATGTGAGGTCAATTGCAAAGATGGTGAATATGTGGAATTTTAGGTGGCTGGATAGGAATGAAATGGCACCTTTTGCGGAAGAAACTGTAGCACACCGAACAAATGAAAAATGAATGTATCCGACTAAATTTGATATTAAAAGTAGTGAAAAATCTTCTGCAATAATAGAATAAATAAACGTCAACGTTAGACCCAGTCAATCTCATTGCAAACTTCAGTGGTGGACTGATACGAATCAGTCAACATAACTTCCTACTTCAATGTGATCAGATAAAAACAGTATGGAATGCAAACTTTATTGTTTTTCTCATAATACTTTGCAGCAGAGTAATATTGCGATCTCCCATCAAATGCATTCTTGAACTCAGTAAGAAAACCTGAGTCTCTTTTTGCTAATCATCATAAGCCAGAGTGATAAAATTGACACAATTAATAGAAAAGAATTTGAAAAAATAACTCATTTAATAGGGTTTCGTTACTTGTTCCTAAAAAAACCGAAAGCAATAATAAACGCTACTGAAACTGTTACAGGACTGTTAATCATGATTCGTTTTTTACAGTTATCACATTTTTCTGAGATCACTGAAAGCACTGGAATTCAAGCATACTATTAACTGGTGCTAAACATATTTTTTACTTAACAGAAGACAACAGTAAGATTTTTTATTTTTTTGATTTCAACTTGATTCCACACCGTATTTTTTCATACAAGTATGGAATTTTCAGCATGTGATATCGATAGCCAAAATTTTGCAGGCCGACCATAGATATCAGGTGTTTGTCGGCAGGGAATCGAACTGTGTTAAGCGTTTGAAATTGTCAGTGAATGAGGGTAGTTCATACCACGATGTCTGTAGATGCAAATGTAACATGTTGGTAAGAAGAGATATTGAGAGTGGGAAAGAATTTCATGTTGTAACAAAATAAGCAAACATCGGCGTTATTTTATTTCTTATCGACTGTATTGCAAAACAGTAGTTTATCAGACACTTAAGTAATGAAGTTCCCAGCTGGACTCAGGTCGTGGAGAATGGTATTTCAAAGATTTCACACGTGAAAGTTAGTAGATTGGTATAATAATGAATTAAATACTATTGACCGCGACATAAAGTAGGCTAATATCCATTAAACTAATCACAACTAGTCAACTAAATTTAGCCATATAGAGGTATAGAGGAAGGTTTCAAGGGAGTACTGAATTTAAAATCACTTCTGTTAACAAATATAACCTCTTTAGCTGGGAGTCTGCATAACCTAAATAATAACAAATTAGAGAGTTAGGAGAATATACGTGGTAATTCAAGTCTCGTATGTGTGCAGCTAAATATGATGATGTTTGAAGCCCAATCTCAACAACCGGAAATATATATTTGACTGCGTATTGACAAACGATTCAATGTGATATATGTGCCTTAATTATTCTGGGTACGACTTGACACTAAACAATTAGAGAGTCTCAATTTACTGAGTACAGGTTTAAATCTCATGGTTAAAACTTTCTTCTATTCTGCCAAGAAGTAATTGGATGATGTTCAAAAATGACTTATGAAGTTTCCCAAAATCTACACAATTCCGCTAGCCAAATACGAAAGGATTACTGCAGTTTTGGCTGGGCAAACTCATTTCGGGAACTCGCATTTTGAGATTGTGTAAACAGCTGTAAATCTGTCATTTGACACACTACAGAGGCTTCATCACCATATGTAAATTATTCTGAAGCTTCACGGTTTGTTAGAATGAGGCATTAGTTGGGAAAATAAACGACATATGTGAATAAATTACAAAATCATGAGATATTCACTTATCAGAAGAGTGCAGTAATAATTATTTTGTCACTTACCAGCTACAATAGTGGAAATAAAACCAGAGGCACTTTCGCAAGTTACAAGACTATATATTATGATTTACTAAATCCATCGTTACAATATTCTGTGATCCCAGGAATTTAAATGCACTATTAGTGTGTTGTTCGGTATTTTATAAGACATTCACATCACTTATAAATATTCATACAAACGCGTCTGTGCATTGCTAAGAAAAACATCAAATACGCAAAACATTTTTGAAAAAAATTTATGCTAACAGATAGAACATTGACTTCTTTGGAATACCATCGAGGATGAACTTGTGCAACCAGATTAACTTTTACTTACCGCCAGCCAGTGTATCTTGAAATAAAGAAAATAATAACTAAAGGTAAGATGGAGTAGAAGAACATGCATTGAAGAGGTTATGTCTCATGGCCTAACTTTAGTTAAGTAGTGACACACAAGGGGTATCAGCTGGGTACAAGAACTCCATGTGGATGATAAGTACTAAATTAGCTGAGATGAAAAACGCCAAATTGCTCATGCATGTGTAAACAACAATTCAAGACTGCATTTCAGTCCTAAGTACAAACCTTGGGGACTGTGATAGAGTGTGACTCCATTATGGATGAGATTTTATTTTGACAAATCACACAGTGTTGTACAGTAATATTATCTGATGACGTTTCAAGCACAAACCATTGCTCATAAGCATATCAAGTTGTGTGAGTGACTGGATTTGGTTCTGAGCAATAGTTTATGCTCGAAACATGGTCGGTTAATATTACTGTATAACACGGTGTGATTCATCAAAATAAAATCTTATCTATAGTACATTTCAGTTAATTGAGATTCAGAATCTGAGTAGGAAAATAAAGACATAATTTGGAATTACCCCTCCGTGAGTAGCAATATTACTTAGAGTATTCAAGATTGTAGCCTGAACAGATAAGTTCTGAATATAAAGTGAAAATCATAATGATTCTGGAAACATCTTCATCCAAAATATGAAGAAGAACTGTACGCTGAATATCGGCTTACCAGTGAAAATTAGCAATATTCAAAATGATCATTCGATCAAACAGTGAATTTTAGAACGTTCTACCAAAATCGATGGTTTCGAATAAAATATTGGTTGAAAAATAAATTCCGTAGAATAATACACAAAAGTTCCCGATACAGTAAAGACTAAGAACTCCAAAACGAAGCTTCTAAAAGTGAAGAACATGCAAGCAAAAATTCAAACAAATAAATAAACATATAAAACATCGGGAGAATTTCATTATTATTATAACCAAAGAAAAATCAAAAAGGTAACACTTACCATGAGTCAAACACAAGACGATCAACACAATAGTAGCCACAAAAACCAAGTTTAAAGCTTGCATTCTCAAATTATGTGAACAACTCAGGACCCGGGGTTTATATACTACAAATTCTTCATTGCCACGCCTTCATTACTTGAAGAGAATCAAGATCTGTTTACAAAAAACGCCAATTGATACAATAAATAATAAATGAACAATAACACACTCAACATGTCCACATTTGACTTCTCACTGATTTAGAAAACAATAAGTGGATAAATAAACCAATGAAGAGATAAATCTTACTTAATTGTGGTCACAATAACAACTGAAATTATTAGAATGACAGAATGCTTGAAACAAACAATTTTATTTTCAAAACAACCCTCAAAGGAGTAACAAATTAATAAACTCTGTGTAAACTACAAGATAAAATGAAGGCAATGAAGCTGACATTGATAGTTTTTGTGCAGTCTAAGTAGGTGAAGCGAACAAATTTATCAGCCTTATCTAGACAGCATTAAATGGGTAACATCTATTGTATATATACTGCATTTATATGTAAACTATTTGCACCTACTGAAATAATTGAACAGAGGCTAATGTATTTCCTGGTTTCCGGTAGATTGGGTGGATAACTCTCAGGATTAGTTGAAAGTGGTGTCTTACATTCTGTCAAATTCCAAAACTAATACAGATGCAAGGTCATGCTAGAGAATGACGAAATAAATTCAACAAATTTGTCAACATATCATGTTACAAACACTGTCCCATAAGCTTTACAGTAAATAATCTGTGATTGTCAATTTTTTATCTGAATAAACTTGGACGAAATTACAAATTAGTCAATACTTAGCATACGAGAATCGAATTGCAGAAACACCTGAAATTTTCATAATTTCAGGAAACTAGAACACCTCTGCCTCAGTCAAGCATAGTCCACTCATAAGACGAGACATAGATGTTGGCATTCCTCTATCACTTATAAAAAAGCTTCTCTGGAAATGAAAAATGTATGTTCGTTTTTCATTTAATAAGGAGCTATAAAGACAAATTGATTGCGTTGTAATGATGTCGTCACTAAGAGCCATTCTAGCCAATACTTTCCTTGCGAAACTAAAGATCCGGCCTTTTAAAGATGTAATTGATGAAAAACGTTTTACTGTCGGTACATGGATGATACATTTTTGATTCTGAGAAATTTTCTTTATTTTTGATTACAGCTTGATTCTACACTGTATTTTTGGTACAGGTATGGAATTTTCACTTTGTGATATTGGTAGTCCAAATTTTGCAGGCCGACCATAGATAACAGGTGTGCGTCGGCAGAGGATCGAACTCCGGACCATGTGCATGATCGGCGAGAGTTCTAACCGCCATGCCACCAACACACGGTCAAATTTAACGATGACTATCCTGCAATAAATTGTGCCATCGAGACAGAAAAAGACTCCAGTATTTCATTCGTATACGTTCTTATGACCAGAAAAGAGGACTGTACAATGAGAAGAAGTGTAATTAGAAAACTACATCAACAAACTGTCAGTATACTCACTTTTCCAGCTTCGTTCCTTTGAAATACAAACGCAGTCTGATAAAGTGCTTGGTCCATAGAGCAGGAGCAATATACTCTGAGGAATGTGTTAATGCAGGACTTAATATTATCAAACAGTTGCTGAGTGCGAACGGTTATCCAGAAAAATTCATCGATACGAATATGAATAAAAAATTGAGGTAACCCAAGGTACAAACATTTCCGAAAACCGCCTTATTCTTACAACTTCAGTCTTTTGGGTACAACATCAGCGAGATAATAACACAGAGCCCTAGAAATGTGGTAAAAAAGAGCATTCAGTACTGCTGTGTCTTCAAGATCACCCCTATCTTGCGTTCGGGAGTAAATGATAAACTACCTCATTTCTCCCCTTCTATGCGTATCTACCAGTTAGACTGCTCCTGTGGAGCCAGTTACATAGGCCGTACAGTTAGGCGTGTTTCTCATTGTATTTACGAATTTCACATAACGTGGTTAAGTAAAGAACAAAAAAAATCCATTCAGAGTTCTGTTGTATATCATCTTGTTGATACAGAACATAAGATTGATGTCAAAAAGGCTATTTTCAAAGTCATTTATCGCATGCCAATTAATCTTAACTTCACCTTAAGAGTTCGTCTACTACATATTGCTGAGGCAGTTGGGATGCACATTAAGAAACCTAACTTATGTATCCCAAAGAAGCTGGTTCAGACATTGTCCTTATCTTGGCCATCAAGGTTCTAATGTTCCTCAAGTTTTTGTAGAAATTTCCTTAATTTTATTTGATATTCTATTTGCTTTTGTATTTGTATGCCTATTTATAATTTATGAATCTTTAGTGAGCTGTAATTCCTTTGATCTTACTAAACAAATCGATATTATTTTTAAAAAATAACAATATTGTTTCTGACTACTATTTTAGAATATTGTATGTACATAAAAATGTACATAATTGTAGATGCTTAGGGGAAAATTATCGGAAGGTATATTATTTGCTCAATTTTTTCGTTTTTTATAGAAGTCTGAATGAATATTTTTGCCATGTCTTATTATTATCATTCCCTTAGGTTCCGTCCGGGTGGAATATCGGGCTTTAACAGTACATATTTATTTTGTCCTGTCCCCTACAGTCCTCTTCATTTGACTCAACAATCGCACACAGGCTTTCATCCCATCTTCGCAAGATCTCATCCACGTCACCCTCGAGGAGACGCTCAACTCGTTTTTCTCCATTCCGGTTCCAATCAACCCATTGCCTGTCGCACCACATTCATTCACATTCTCCTTAGTGTGTGTCCAGCCAGTCTTCATGCTCTTCTGCCTATTTGTTGGGCGACAGTTTCTTGGTCAGCTCGCTGCCAGAATTCTCCATCACTTTTCCTTTCTGGCCATCTGAGCCTCAGTATAGCGCTAGCGTAGGCAGTTGTTGAAAAAGTTTCCCCTCCTTTTGAAGTGCTTTCTGTGATGAGCCAAGCCAGTGAGCTGTTTCGAGGAACCGACTTTACATCATTGTTGGGAATCTGAATCTTGTTCTTATGTTGAGTGCAGTAGATTCTCAGACCGATTTTACAGTAATGAAGGTCTGTCCCGCCTTTCCGATCCTACTTCAACATATCCATACCACCTGTAACTGAAATGATGAGGCTTGCATTAGTGAAGGAGGTAACATCCTTCAAATTTCTCCCTTTCATAGGGGTTGGTGATTGTTGTTGCTGAAAAGGTATCTATATCACATCTGTCTTTTCTATATTCAATTGAATTCCTTTATTCGCTGCCTCTTTTACCAGCTTTTCGGTTTTCGTTTCTATATTTCCGAGTTTGTATAACACCCGAAATGAAGCGTCCGCGAAGTTCAAATCTTGCGTGGCTTTTAGTCGTTCAAAGTATGTCTGTGTTATGCAGACATACGTTTTCTAAAATACTACGTTTATTTTTTCAAAACAGTGCTGTTTGCATTTCCACACTTACAAAATCGGAACCGTAAACAGTCGTTGACTGAGGTTAAAAAGGGTATGCTGCACTCAATATCCTTAAAGCACATTTTGAATTACTTTACAGTGGGCGCTATCTAAGGCTTTATTAAAGGTAATTGCAATTGCAGTAGAGATTTATCTGTAACACCTTCCTCTGTTTGACGAAGACATGAAGTTTTGCCTATTCATCTACATTATTATTATTTCCTTTAATTCCTAGAGGAACAGAGGGCTTCAGCTACGCGTCTTCATTGCCTTCGGTTTTCTGTCAAGTTTTTCACCCTGCTCCAAGTCTGCCCACATGCTTTCATCTCCTCTTCACATGACCTCCTCCAAGTCACCCTTGGAAGACCAACTCGCCACTTCCCTTCCGGGTTCCACTTGAAGGCTTGTCTAGTGATGTCACTTGATGGTTTGTTTCCACAGAGTATGGCCAATCCATCTCCATTTCTTCCTGCCTATTTGTTTCACAATCGGTTCCTGGTTGGTTCGCTCCCAGATATCTCTGTTGCTGATCTTTTCTGGCCATCTGATCTTGAGTATTGAGCGAAGGAAACTGTTAATGAAGGTTTGAAGTTTGTTTGAGATGCTCTTCATGACTCGCCAAGTCTCTGATCCGTATATTAGCACTGACTTCACATTGGAGTTGAAAATCCGGATCTTATTTCTCATGCCGCGTACTGTTGACCTCCACACAGACTTGAGAGTAGTGAAAAAGCTTGTCTTGCTTTCCCGATCCTCGCCTTGATATCCTCATCAGTTCCGTCCACCTGTAGTTGAAACGGTGCTTCCCAGGTAGATGGGTAGGTAAAGGAGGTTGCTTCTTTCAGATTTCTCCCATTTATACTGGCTGATTGTTATCTGTTGTTGTTGCTGTTGGTGTTGACCAGGAGTCTTCATCACCTCTGTTTTATCTTTGTTCACCTGAAGGCCTATCCTCTCTGGATGCTTCTACCGCCAGCTTGTTGCTTTTCATTTGCATATCTTCCAGTTTGTGGGAAATCAGACATATATCACCGGCGAAATCCAGATCCTCCAAGTCTTTTGTGTCAGTCCATTTTATGCCTGTTCCCTCGTTGGTTGCCGTTGTCTGTCGCATTATCCAATCTACTGCAATCAGGAAGATCATTGGTGATAGTAGACAGCCTAGTCGCACTCCCGTCCTCACTTTAAAGGCTTCTGTAAGTTTCCCGTTGTGGATTACTTGGCATTCAGCACTGTCGTACAACTGTTGGATACATATTATCACCTACTAATATATTCGGCGTCTTCCAGATTTACAGCTGAAATCTGAACCTCTTCAACAATGGAGAACATCACTGTCGAATCAAAATACAGCCTACTATTTACACAAGCTATGAATAAATCATTACTGAATCAGATAATATAATGATTGACTAAGTACATGATGCAAAATAATGGTGGTAAGGTAGCCGTATTTTATATCGCAGAAAAGCTATCAATGTCAGCTTCATTGCCTTCATTTTATCATGTAGGTTACACAGAGTTTATTAATTTGTTACTCCTTTGAGGGTTGTTTTGAAAATAAAATTGTTTGTTTCAAGCATTCTGTCATTCTAATAATTTCAGTTGTTATTGTGACCACAATTAAGTAAGATTTATCTCTTCATTGGTTTATTTATCCACTTATTGTTTT